TGTGTGTGTGTGTTACTAGTTACACTGAGCTCTGTGCCCCACTCCATCCCCATGCAATTTTCCTTGCTTGCCAATCCTGCTTACCCTGGAAAGAGCTGTGTGACCGGAAGTCATGGCACAGGAAGCCTACAGCAAACACCAGCACCAACAGGAGCAGCCGTGTCCAGGGCAGCTGAGGACCCCGGGCCTGCTGCAGCAAAACCTGGGAGGAGAGGGGGTGGGCAACTGTGGTCAGAGGGAGAGGGGTCCATCCTGGGCTCTGAAGGCAGGTCTAAAGTGAGATCTCTCAGGACAAGGGTCAAGCTCTCCTAGAGGTAGCAGGAGGCTCCAGGGACAGGGCGGACAGGAGTGTGACAGCGGCCCAACCAAGCAGTGTGTGGGCTGTGAGGGCTGGGTGCCCGCACCTTGCAGGCAGCATCACAGGTGATGACATCCTGGTTACTACAGTTACTCTTCTTCAGCAGCTCCTGGTTGGTAAGCTTGAAGGACTCAACAGTTTCTTGCAAAGATGCCCACACCTAAGAAAAGTCTGGCTTGAGAACATCGTAATTGGCCCTTGTGAGACCCCAAGCCTCCATCTGCTTCATTTTCCATGCCGAGTGCACTAACAGGGCACCCTTCTCAGAAAAGTGTGGAGAGTGGTTCGAATCCAGAACCCAGATGAGGCTCAGCCTGCCATATATCTCCTAGCTTCTCACCTTCTTGGGAATCCTCTCCCAGGACTTGAGCAAGTGGTCCAGCAGCAGGCTGTGGGGAAAGCACAGCCCTTCCAGTCAGGTGGCTCACTGGGCCTCCCGTCCTCTCTCCTTAATTAAGCTCTGGCTCTTTTTGACGAAAGACCATCCACCCCCATCCAACAAAGGAACAGCTTCTTAGAGTTCACCCTAGCAATGTTCTCTCAATCTGAGAGGCATGAGCTGGAAGAACAGTGACAAATGGCCCCTTTCTGCTTCTTGGACAGGGACAGGCCAGGCTCAGGCTGGGAAGCATGAACAAGGTGTTTCTGTGTGGAGCAGAGGAGGGCCACCCCCACCCCACCTGCCTGGATTGTGACAGGTGCTTGGGGTACAGCTGCCTCCAGACACTGGTGCTGAGGGGGTCCACAGTCAGGCACTCAGTCAGGCTGCTCAGAAGCTGCAAATGGGACAGAAAGGGGAGACCCATGAGAGCAGGGGGAGAGTGCTAAGGTAACTCCCCCAGGTAAGACATCTACCCTAAAGGGTGGAGAGATAGTGCCAAGACTTGTCCTAGAAAGCTCTCTGAGAGGTTGAGAAGGGGGAAGTCAGAGCTCTTGAGCTAGAGCTTGAGTTCCAAGATCACCCATCTCCAAAGGGCAGGACATCAGAGACCCCCTAGGCCTGAATGTGCATTCTTCTCAAGATAGAGTGAGTGGGCAGGGCTATCAGGAGTGAGCTAAGGGTTCCATGAAGGCAGGGCCTTTGTCAGCACACAGGAACTTTGCAGCTGACACTGGGCAAGGAAAAGGAGAGTTGGACCATTTCCTCACCTCTTTCTTCATCTCAGGGGGACAGCTAGGGGTGGCTCTGGACAGGAAGGAGGGGAAATAGGTATGCAGGGTGGATTCTGGCTTCGCCCCAAATGCCAGCACCTTCAGTCGGGGGTAGAGCTGACACAGATGCTCCTGCAGGCTGGGGTGGGGAGGAGAGCCAGGCACAAGCTGTAACTGTAGCTGTGCCACATGTCCCCGTTGCCTGCCTCAGTCCACGCCCCAGCCCAAGGGGAGTCACCAAGGCCCTCACAGTGACTCCGAGCCTTTTCAGACTCAGAGATTCCTTAGAAAATCTGTTTAAAGCCATGGACTCTCTCCCCAGAACAATGCCCATATGCCAATCACATATGAATATCTACATAATTCCAAGGAAGTTCACTGATCCCTGGAAACCCACCCTTGAACATCCAAGTTAAGAATCTCAGCTCTCAGGTGGCTTTGGGAGAAGGGATGGAGAGTACATCGCCTTGCCCTGACCCTTCACTGGCTGCTGTCACTGCAGCTGTGCCCGGCTGTCTTACCCAGGTGTCAGAGAGTTGTTAGGCATATAGGCAAAGTCCAGAAGTGGGAAGAAGTCCTTGGGGCCAATCATGCCAAAGCCCTTGGTGAGGTTGGGGTGCATCCTGTGGAGGAAGGACACAACAGGCTGGTTGGAAACCAACACCCAGGCCAGCTGTTTTGGCCATGACCCCAATGACACCAACACCCAAGAAAAAAAGGCGTATTTTCACTCCAACCCATCTACCCTATCTATCTATACATCTATCCTCAATGACTCCCTCTTTTTCCTTCCTCACCATCACATTCTGAATTGGGAGGACCTGGTTCTGATTCCACTGCTACACATCTATGGAGACCTGTATCACAGCATCCTATTTTGCACAAACACCCACTTGTAGACACCCTAGCCCTCCCCTTGCTGCCCCATTACTCACCGGAGCAGCCGATCCAGATATGCGATGGCAAAGGGAGACAGAGACTTGATGCCCAGCACAGGCATCATGATCCCCAGCCACACTGCAAAGACAGAGGATAGGGATGAAGCCTCAGGCTTGGACCCACTGGGCACACTGAGAGAGATGCTTCCTGACTCCAAGCCTCCATCCCTTTTTTCCCCACATTGATGGTACCTTTCAGTCCCTCGGTGAGGTTGGCAAAACCCGCTTGACCCAGTGCCCACATGATGGTTAGACACTTTGCTGGTCGGCTCTGGTGGGACCTCAGTAGCTCCAGGAACTGAAGAGACCAGAGGGGAGGGAGACTGGGATAAAGCAAAGCACAGGAGCACCTCTACAGCCAGGTGGGACGAGAGATGGCAACTGGGAGATGAGGAGCTGGCTAAGGGATAGTGGAGCACAGCGGGAGAGTGGTGTAGGGATTCAGAGCACCCCAGCCTGTGACCTTCACTCATACTCTGCCACTTACTAGTCGGCCAACTCTAGGGAAGTTACTGAACCCTTCTGTGGCTCAGTCTTTCCATCTGTAAAATGGGAATAGCAGTAATAGCTGCCTCATATGCTACATAAAGCAAACACACAGTCAAGTGCTAACTGTTTCTATTACTATTGGTCTTGCAAGGTCTTCTACCATTCCATAACTAGGTCCAACAATATGAAATATGCCCAGCCTTCCTAGTCCTAGCCTCCTGGTATCCCCATCATCACCTTGAGCTCACCTTGCCCAGGTTTGTGGTGGCAATCTTGGGCCTGTCTTGCAGTATGGCCTGGATACAGATGCGGTAACCATGTAGCGACTCCCCTGGAGAGATACATTTTCTCAGCCACATGCACACTATTCAGCATTCTGAAGTGGAAATCTTTTTGACAGCTATAAGGCCAGAACCCAGGCTGAATGAGTCCTAACTTCCTCCTCTTTCTAAAAAGTATCAAGATTAATGTGTCCTTCTGCTGAAAACAGTATCATTCAACCAATCTGGAAGCAGGGAAAAAGGGAATAACCTCTTGGGACAAGGCAGGTTATCCCTCCTAGGCCCCTTACCTGGTGTCTTATCCAGCTCTTGCAGCATAGTGAATAGACAGTGGTCAAAAAAAAGCTCCAGAGACCCTGCTGCCTTCGCCAACAGCCCCCGGATGATCCCACGCAGCTCCCGGCTCACCAGGCTGTAGGGATAATCTGTAGCCGAGAAGCTCCACATGAATGCTAGGACCCAAAAACCCATGGCAGCTGAGAATTATGGTGTTCTGAGAATGGTGAGTGGAAGCAGAGGTCTCTGTTCTGAGACTGGCATCCTTCCTACCCCAAGGAGGCCATGAAGATTTAAGAATAACTCAAATCACTACCTGGGTACATAAATCAGGAGAGTGGAGGGCACTAGGTTGTGTTGCTAACTAATGTGGTTATGCACAACCCTTTCAGAATTTTCCTGACCTTTCACGAACTTGACAGAGTTGGAAAGACTAACCGTGGGTGTGCTGGCTTAACGTGGGTTCACTTAGAGGAGCTTGTAGCTTGTAGTTGAGATAGCTGGCCAGGTCCTTCAACCACACGGATGGGTTCCCAGAGAACACGCTCTGGCTCTTGTCCAGTTCCTTCTGCAGAGCTGCCACGTCCAGCTGCCAGGAACACAGGTCCCTTGTGGTTAAGATGCAAGGGCCAGGGAAAGGGGATAGGGGTGGGAAAATTATCGAACTAGGTGGTAATATGATAAACAAAGGGTTTTCTGCTTTTAGATGTAAGCATGTGGAATGCCACAGTTTTGCTGCATCTAGCTCTTTAGAAAGTACAGAACAGGACCCCTGGGGCTGCTGCTCTCAAGGCCCTTCACATTTAAGGGGGAAAAACAGAGGACAGGGTAGCAGATGAAAGATCACTGCTTCCATGGGGCAGGGAACAACCAGTTTCTCTATCCCTGCCCTGGTGTTCCTGGGCCTTCAAGGCTTTCCTCTCACCACATTTTTCCTATACATTATGTTCCTTTGTATTCTAAGTGTAAGCGTTCTACACCCTTGGGCTTCTCATCATTTCCCTAAAGCCTCCTCTCACCTAGTGTCCCCTTTCCCTCTTTTTCAGTTTACACCTTAAGCCTCTGGCTTTCCCACCTGAACTCCAGGCCACACTCACTGCGTTCAGCGCTGCCTCCAAGCTGCGGAAGCGGCCCTGCTTCTGGTTTTGGTTACTGATGGTTGTCACCTTCTTAGGCTGCTTCTTGTTCCCTGGTTTCTTGGGTTCCACAGCAGGAGGTGGAACCTGCTCCTTGTTCTGCCGTTTCATGATTTTCTCAAAGCCCAACTCATAAAGGGTACTTGTCGTCTGGATTGGAGCTAGGGTATAAAGATAGGCAGAAAAGAGGGATCTATCATGAGTCTCAAAGGTCTCAAACAGTGGATACTTCTCTCCTCCAGGGAGAGGCCTGCCTCAATGCCCTTTCTTCTTCTTCTTTTTTTTTTAAATTGTTATTGTGATTTGGATGAAAGTTTACAGAGCAAATTCATTTTCCATACAGCAGTTCATACACATTTTGTTTCATGATACTGACTGCAATTCCCCACAATGCAACAGCTCTCTTCCCACTTTCTCCCTGTAATTACCACTTCCCTGTGTCCTTCCTGTGCATTCCTGCCCCTACGTTATCTCCCAAACACTGCCCTTCTTGCTGTGCTGTTGCTGGCAGGTTCTTTCAGCCATCACAGCTCTTGACTTCATGGGCTCTTTCACAGATGAGGCATGTCTTTATTAGACATAGTAAGTATGTAGACACTAGCAGCTGGATCAGATACAGAGGGCTGGCTTCTTTTCTGAGTGGCTAAAGGCCTGGAAAGTCAGGATTTTTCCACCCTAGTTCAACCTCAATTCCTCTAGTTTAGATGTGACAACTCTATAATCAACAAGTGGCAAGCTTTCTTACTCCTTTGGGAGACAGAAAACATGCACCACACAGAATACTTGGGTGTTCAGTGGGGCGGGTCATTTCTCCCCGTTAGGCCTCCTGTCACTTCCTACCCCCCATGTGCTGGTTACTTAATAGGGAGCACCTGCATAATGAACTGGGATGCCTCTACCCAGCTCACAGGCAACTGCAGGGTGAGGTCAGGCTTCAACCCAGAACAGCTGGTAAGATTTGTGTGCAGTGCACTGAGTGTCTGAATACTGGAATAGGAGTCCTTTCTGACATGTGATTCTGGGCAAGGCAATTAATTTAAAGAGGCTTCAGTTTACTCATCTGTGAGGTGAGGACAGCAACCCCCTCTTGGGCTGTGAAGCTCGTAAAAAACAACGTAGAAATAGCGTCTGGTGAACTGGGATATTCTGATTATCCTGAGAACTAGCTCCCCAAATAATCCTGCAGTGTTTTGACCCTCTGGGCTCCAGGAACTGCTCGCACTACACTGGAGGAGAAGACGGGGTCAGGCAACGTTGCGTCGGTCCCCAGGGCAGGGTCACTGCGGTGGCACTGGCAGGGGGGTAGGTACTCACGCGTCAGGTCGAATTTCCACACTCCGTTCGCTTCCCCAAGTGCCCGGCGGTCCCCTCCGCCGCCAGCTTTTTTACTGCTGCCGGCCGCAGACCGTCGCCCCTTCTTCACTACCTCCCAGCGCCCCCCACCCGCCGTCCTGGCCGCCATGGCTCGGACCCCTCCCGCCACCGCCTCCGCCTCCGCCCCGGGCTTTCCGGTTTGGAGCGGACACACCACGCTCTGCCACGTTTCCTCGCAGGTCCTCGCGGCGCGTGACGCAAACCGCAAGGACTTCTGGGAGTTGTAGTCTTTCACTTTTGCCAGGTTAGACCCGGGGAGGAGTTCGTTGGATTATGAGCGGCTGCTTGGTAGCAAACCTCAGGCTTCTGCCCAGCCAAAGATGTTATGAGAGTCAATTAAATTCAGAAAACTTTTACTGAATATCCGTTGGGTGGCTATCTCTGCCCTCTCCCTCTGTGACCTAGTTGGGGGACAAAAGCAAACCAAACTCACTGCCATCCAGTCAGATCACTACATAAGTAGATTGCCCAACCTTCCTTCCCAGGAGTGGCTGATGGGTTTGAACTGCCATTCTTCTGGTCAGCAGTCAAATGCCCTAGGCACACTAGGCCACCAGAACTCCTAGTTAGGGACAGACATAAAACTCACCTTCCCGTCGTCGTGGCAGATAAGTGTTCAGACTGCCTTAATAGGGAAATTTATTGTTTTTCTTTCCTTCTAGTAGTGCTAGGATGGAATAGAAATTGTTCTCCTCACTTCCAGGGAGGCTTCAAAGATCATATGTTTCCTTCCTTCAAGGGAAGTGCTAGTTTTTTTGGTTGCTAGTGATAATGAAGGAAACTTGGGCAATCTACTTCCGTAGTGATACTGCCTGGAAAACCCAAGGAGGGGTCGCTATGAGTCTGGTCTGACTCAAGGCACATAACAACAACAACAACAACAGTGATGGCTGGGATTTTGGGTTTACTGGGGTGTGAAAATCTCTTGTGAAAGAGAGAGGGGACCTGGCCTGAGGGAAGAGGCACAGGGTTGAAGGGCAGGAGGTGGGGCCATGCAGAGTCCTTCTGATGGGAAGCAGAGAAAGGTCTGGATGTCTGGGACAAGCAGAGCTGGGTTTCCTCTTCCAAACAATAGGAAAGACAGCTCTAGTTTCTACCCATTGCAAAAGTCCATCCAAAATTGCAGATGTGGCAGCGAAGTGGTAGAGTCCTAAACCTGAGGAACCATGTAGACAGACAGGTTACTACTGACATCAGCTATCCCTGCAGGGTCTCACATTAAGTGAGGCCAGTATGTGAGGCCTCAGAACTTTGGAGCACCCTAGCAGGAGAGAATGAGGGATGGTCAAACATTTATTGCAAATCAGGACATGCTATTTCTTGTACATCTACATTTGAGTATGAAATTCAGAGCTGCCACACTGAGGCACAAGGCCAGTTCTTATGGTAAGAACTGTAACAGAGCCTAAATTCCTACAGCATGAACAGCTGAGGAGAATGTTGAATTCCTTAGGAAGGAGATCAGAGCAGCTTTCCTGAAGGAGATGGCATTTGAGATGGATCTTGAGGAATGACTTTTCAGTGCGTGGGGATCAGGGTAGGTGGAGGGAACACTTCAGGTGTATAAACCTAACCAAACTCATTGCCATTGAGTCAATTTCAACTCATAGCGACCGCCGGGTTTCTAAGGCTGTAAATCTTTATGGAAGCAGACTGCCTCATCTTTCTTCCACGGAGCAGCTGGTGGGTTTGAACCACCAACCTTTACCACTGACCTTTTGGTTAGCAGCCAAATGCCTTAACCAGTGCACCACCAGAGCTCTTGCCAGGTATGTAACTCTTATTGATTTAAGCAAAGGCCTAGCAGTGAGAAATGGCTTGGCAAGCCAGAGAAACTGTAAGTCGTTCACTGAGAGGGTGCTTAATGAGATTGAGGAGGAGATGAGGTTGGAAAGAGATCTGAGACTAAATGTGGAGGGCCTTGCCTGAAAGCCAAGGAGTCTGAACCTTATCCTCCAGCCCCCCAGAAGCCAATGGGAAGTGGCACAGTCCACTGTTTTAGACAGGTAAATGGGCTGAGTGGAGGATGGTTGGGGAGGGGGAAAGGTAGGAGGCAGATGATGACCAGGTCTTGCTGCTTCTTTCTGCCTTTTCTCCAGCCCCTCTTCAGGCCTCACTTTGCCTCAGGTAGTAGCTTTGATAGCTTTTGCCACGGATTGTATTTGCGCTGAAGACTAATGAATTCACTTTTCAGTTCACTGATTTAGCTTTACTCAGACACCAGTAGCAATATCCTCTCCTTGCTCCACCCCTTCTGTGTCACATTATGTTCAAAGGAGACAGCCTGTTTTTGGAAGAACAACAGAACTGGCTCTCCATAGATGCAAAAGAGTGAGCTACTTCCACAAAAAGAAGGGTGAGAGGGGCTTTCTTTTCTATCTTTCACTGGAATAGTCTGGCAGGTTATCTGTTGTGACTTGGCATCTAGGGGATGAAAGTCATTCATTCACTTCTCCAGTGACATTTCCTAAGCATTTTCTCTGTGTCTGCTATTGGCTAGGTGAGGTGGGACACTCTTGCTCTTGATGCCTGCGTGGGAGACAATTGTGTAAACAGAAAATTGTTGTTGTTGTTGTTATGTGCCATCGAGTCAGCCCTGACTCATAGTGACCCCTCCTTGGGTTTCCGAGGCAGTATCACCACGGAAGTAGGATTGCCCAACCTTCCTTCTGAGGAGTGGCTGGTGGGTTTGAACCGCCAGAAACAGAAAATTACAATTCATCATTTAAATGTTCCAGAGGAAAGATACGTTTAGTGTGAGTCCCTAGGAAAGGGAGGACCTCTGGTAGTATAGCGGTGAAAGCATTTGGCTGCTAACCATAAAGGTCAGTGGTTTGAACCTACCAGTTGCTCCATGGGAGAAAGAGAAGGTGGTCTGTTTCCATAAAGATTTATAGCCTTGGAAATGCTATGGGCAAGTTCTACTCTGTCCTATAGGCTCACTGTGAGTTGGAATTGATTTGAAGGTATTGGCTTATTTGGTACTAGGAAGTGGGGGAGGGAAGGAAGGAGGGAGAAAGGGTTGGGGGCATGGCTGAGTGTTTAAAGAGCACCCTTAGATACTAAGGAGGTGGGCCAGGACAGTCACCTACATAGGGTTTGAGTGAAGAACTGAAAGATGTTGGGTCAAGGTGAACAGGTTGCAGTTGGGTATAAGAAGAAGTGGTGAGCTCAGGAAAACATAATTTTACCTATTGGGTTACTTTCCTATGGCTGCTGTAAGAAGTTACCACAAACCAGTGACTTTAAACAACATAAAGATATTGTTTTCCAATTCTGCAGGTCAGAAGTCTAATATGGGTCTCACTGGACAAAAACCAAGGTGCTGGCAGGCCTGTGTTCCTTTCTGGAGGCTCTAGGAGATAATCTATTTCCTTGCCTTTTCCAGCTGCTGTTGTTATGTGCCCTCGAGTCGGCCCCGATTCATAGTGACCCCTCCTTGGGTTTCCGAGGCAGTATCACTACGGAAGTAGGATTGCCCAACCTTCCTTCTGAGGAGTGGCTGGTGGGTTTGAACTGCCAGCCGTCTGGTTAGCAGGCAAGTGTCTTAGCCACTATGCTACCAGAGCAAATATTCCTTGGCCAGCAATGGTGGATTGAGTTCTTTTCACGTGGCTTCATTCTGATCTTCTCTTCTTCCACATTTATGTACCCCAGGTGGCACAGTGGTTAAGTGCTTTGCTGCTAACTGAAAGCTTGGCCATTAGAATCCACCAGCCACTCTGTGAGAGGAAGAAGTGGCAGTCTGCTTCTGTAAAGTTTACAGCCTACGGGATAGTTCTATTCTGCCCTATAGGGTCACTATGAGTCAGAATTGACTTGATGGCAAACGGTTGTTTATATTGGGCTCACCTGGATAATTGAAGCTAATCTTCCTATTTTAAGGTTCATTGATTGGCAAGCACAATTCCACCTGCAGTCTTAATTCCCCTTGTCAGGTCAGGTCATTCACAGGTCCTGGGGATTATGGTGCTGACTTCTTGGAGGGGGGATGGTGCATTATTCTACCTACCACACCCACTTTACAAGCAGAGCTCTTGGCCTGAAGATGAACATTGGGCAGGTCAGAACCATCACTTTGTCTTTTTATTTTATCTACCTGGATTAATGAAGGAAAAGCCTTTTAAAATTAGAAAAGGGAATGAAAAATCAGAAAGATAAATAAAAGCAGGCAAGACATATGTTGAAGAAGAAAAACAGGGATAAAATAAGGCCACACGTATGTTTGTATGTGGGGGTGGGAGTCAAAAGGGGGAGGTGAAGTGAGTTAGGAATGAACAGATGTTAAGGCTTACACCTAGCATAATTAGAAAAACAGAATGAGTATCATTAGAAAAATTAGAGAATTAGAGAAATGGTGGTCGGGAAGGAGGACCATGGGCAGAGCCACAGAAGAAACAGCCCCAGCTGTATCCTGCTCATGTTCAGGATGATGTGAAACATCCATCTGGGCAAGTATGAAGCTGGAGGAACATTCTGGAGGTCACACCTCTGTGGCCTTATGAATGAGCACTGAACCATGAGTCAGGAGGTCTGCATTGTAGTCCTGGCTTTTACCACACTGAGCATGGCATGCCACGTGTGGACCTCAGTCTCTGCATCAGTAAATGGGTCCAGATTACTACCAAGGCTCTGTTCTATTCTGACATTGTAAATTGCAAAATTTTTAACATTTTGAGTGGGCCTGGTAACCAAATTCATTTCAGGGCTCTTAGTCCCTCTTGGGCATATAGGGCATTGGTTGTTATGGCCCTTTGCCTGGAAACACTCTATAAACGTAGTGCTGTGTGGATGACATGGAAGGGTTCCCGAGTCCCATTGTTCAACAGAAGGAACAGTTCGGACATTGCTGCCCTGGGCTTTAGCAGTCAGAGCTGCTTGCTCTTTATAGCTCACTCAGCTCTCTTTGATATACAAGATGGATACGTTAGCTGGATCATTACTGTGAGGAATGTGAACTTGACAAGGAGTGGGGGACAACATGCGGTTCAACTGGCCCAAAGAGGACTTAAACAAAGCACGTATTGTCAGTCAGCCTGCTGCCCCACGGCCACTTTACCGCTCTGCCCATCTTCACAGCCATGGGCC